AGGTATTTTCATGTAAACTTAGAGCTAAAGAGGTGAATTAGAAAAGACATAAATCCATTCATAAGACGTTTGGCACGTGAGGGAGGAGTTTCAGCTATGACAGTTCAAAGAGTAGTGAAAAAAAGACTTCAAAGTGAAACTTGTTACTCCAGAACAGAAAGTTAGACGGTTAGAGAGGGCTAAGATCATCTTGAATAAGTTGGAAAATTATCTTGAATATATATATATATATATATATATATATATATATATATATATATATTTGAACTTCAATCATTCATGAGCTTCCGATCTTTAGGTATGATTAATTAATGATGAACATGTCATTTTCGTTTATGATCGATTTCATCAGGATTCTTTTGTTAAACTCTGAGAGTAATAATATATTCTTATTGCTCAAAGTAAAGTTCAATAGTGTTATAAAAATCTTGGAGAATTCCAGTAAGATATCTTTAATCATTTCTAAGATACCACTGTTCAAAGCGTAACTAACAATTGGACAATTTTGCTGTTACACGATTTGAACAATTTTGCTCTTACACCGAGTATAGTGTGGCCTCTGAATTATTTTGTATGAATTTTAACAAAAAAATGTTACCCGTGTATAGTGCAATCGGTTACCGAAAATGCATGACTTTTTGCCTCTTAAAAAAATTACCTGCGTATTATGCGACACTCTGTTTTATTTTGCTTAAAAATTGATCATAAAACTCGCACTATACTCGAATATACACAGTATTTGGAATATGAAGTCACATATTTTATGATGTTTGCTGTAATTAAAAGTGCAAAAAATAAAATATCAGATGATTGTATATCATTATGTGGGACAATGAAGAAGAAATTCAGTCACGTCTTCTCATAAAAAGTGACCGGCAGGTGTTTATATTTTCTGTTTTATTCGTTCATATTTACTAACAGTATGAGTATTATTGTAAATAAATGAATGAATATTCACAACGAATGCATTAATATTAATAATAATTTAATATCAGTCTGAATCTTAAGTAATTTCCGTTTTGAGGGATCAATTATAATAACAAATGTATTACCCTAACTAATAATCATATTTTACAGTTAAAAATAAATATGGAATACACAAACAAATGACAATGTTTCAAGCAAAAGTCAGTGAATTGAAAAGGAAAAATCTCTACAAATGCTGACCTCCATTAAAGAAAGATAAAGCTATGCGTGTGGTGGGATAGTCGTGATATTATTCATTGAGAGTTCTTAAAACGCAATGAAATACTAAATGCACATTTATACGTCCAGCAGCTGGAACGTGTCCATAAGATCTTGATCGAAAAGCACCTTGCGCTTGTCAATAGGAAAAAAATGTTGTTGTTCTTCATGGCGACGCAAGATGCATACAGCATATATAACACGGGAAAAAAATGGAACTTCCTTGATCTTTTCAGGATTACATTCATCATTTGTCGTAAAACTGTCTGATGAACAGGTTGAGCTTGAAGTATTTACAAATGGCCACAAAACCTGAACTCCATGAAAGAAAGGTAATGTTGTACGTGTGGTACGATCGTCGAGGTAGTGTTCATTAAGAGTACTTAAAACGTAATAAAACACTAAATGCAAAATTATACATTCAGCATCTGCAATGTGGCCATAAAAGTTATATAGAAAAGCGCCTCGCGTTCTTCAATAGGAAAATGCTATTCTTCATGACAACACAAGGCCGCATACAGCAATAATAATACCAGAAAATATAGAGAAATACACTGACAGATTTGTATATATGTACAATTTTAACGTATTCGCCCATTCCGATCTATTAAAAGTATTTTGCTAATTGGAAATATTAAATTTAATCTATCAGCTTTAAATTAAAACTAAAGTAAAACTTCAAGATTTTTTATTTTAAATAATTCGTATCACTTTTCTTTGGAGGTATCTATCTATCTATCTATCTATCTATCTCTCTCTCTCTCTCTCTCTCTCTCTCTCTCTATATATATATATATATATATATATATATATATATATATATAAATATCTATATGTGTGTGTTTGCTAATATATATATATATATATATATATATATATATATTAGCTCAACAATGGCGATTATTTATTAGGCTGCATGAAACGAAAAGTCTTCAATATAAAACGAAATATAATAAATAAAATATACAAAAATAAAAAATAACTAAATAAATAAAAAACAAATAAGAATTAATCTAAATAAATAAATAAACACATCGCCCCCGCTAAAATAAGCGTTAGAACTAATAAAGATAAGCATAAATAAGCAAAAACAAGTAAAAATCCAAATAGATAAATAAATTAAAAATGTCCTCCCGCCAAAATAACAGAATAGACTACGGCAAGCAAACATTGGACGAATAAATAGCTTTAATTATCTTCTCAGATCAAAACAAACTATTAAATAAGCGACCTAAGCAAATCCCACCCCAATTTCTTTTTTTACTACGTTAATAAAACATCAAAAACCGAAAAGAATTAATAATACAAAATAAAAATGAAAAACAAGTAAAATAAATGAACCCAAACAAATAAATAAATAAATAAACAAACAGGCCAATCCCGCAAAAATAACCGCCAGAATATATTACCTACAATGCACCACTGACCCATATATATAAATAGTCGAGGAAGAATCCAACATTCGCGGCCTGACGATTGCGTTGAGGCAGTCGACACGCAGTCTCTGACAGTGTACGACTTCTGTCGAACTCTCTGCTTTGGCAGAGAGGAACCCGGATGAAAGGAGGTAGACAGATCCCGAACCCGCTTATGCGGGTTCTAAGGGAATATTTTTTGGCCGAGCCTACGGGCTCGGAGAAACCCACGTTAAACTCGGTCTTGTGCCACATACATTACTCGTGGGGGGACTATTAAATATCGGCCTGACGATTGCGTTTAGCATGAAACAGCCTGTCACCTCTGAGTGTTGACTTCAATGTTCACTTTTATATTTATATTTACATACACTCTACATCTGATATTGAACACTTTATCCTACAAATATAGCACACCTTAAAACTATATAAAACTATATATAAATATATATATATATATATATATATATATATATATATATATATATATATATATATATATATGCGTATACGGATATTTTAGCAAAACAATGGCGATTATTTATTAGGTTGCATTATAACTAACTTCCGTTTTTGGGAATCAGTTCTAACAACGAATGTATCATCTTAAATACTGATCTTATGTTACAACTAAGAATAAATTAGGAGTATACTAACAGACGACAATATTCAACTCAAAAATCAGTGGATTGTAATGAAGAAATCTCCACAACCGACCCAAAAAGCTGGTCCCTGTGGAAGAAAGATAATGTTGTGGGAGTGGTGAAAGCGTCAGGGTATTATTCTTTTGTTGTTCTTAAAATGCAATGATAGAATCAATGCACAGTTATACGTCCAGCAGCTGCAACGCGTCCATGAACATTTGGTCGAAAATTGCTCTGCGCACGTCAATGGGAAAAATGCAGTTCTCCTCCATGACAATGCCAAGCCGTATACAGCAAGAATAACAGAAAAAATGGAACTAGGTTGATCTATTCTACATTAATCGATGACTTGATCTTGCATCAAATCACTATTACCTTTTACGATCTCTTCAAAACGATTTGATGGGAAAAAATTTCTCTGATGAAAGAGAGTTTATCGAAATATTCTTTCACATCAAAATTTGTGGAATTTATTCAAAAGGTATCGTAGAGCTGACTGGTAAGTGGCAGTAAAACATTGAAAGTAATGGTAAATATATAAGTGAATAAACTGTAATTATACCTTATTTTTTTAACAGTAATGTTGATAAGCAAAAAGAGAAATTATTTATTACTGGATCTAATAAATGGCACAGGTGTAAACCATAGTGTGTAACCTGAACATCATTCTATGTTCTCAAATAAACTTTTGGGTATACAAAAAAAAAAAAAAAAAAATCCCTGACTTCTGTTTTACACACATGAATCTAGGTAAACGAGGACTACGTATACAGACATATTAGGTACATGCCCTTCCCACCAGAAAAATTATATGATACAAGTCAAGTTTGTTACTTTTGACAGTAAAAATGTCTACTGAATTATTTATGACATATATGGGTCGAGTATTAAGTACAGTAAACTGTGTTTTTTAATCATTTCGACGATGGATGCCATTTTTGTTTTTTTAAAGATTTTGTAGTTTATGTAAATATGAATGAAATAATCGGTAGAAAATATCTAAGTGGCCGTAAGAAGAGGGATGGCGTTAAGTCAAAGGAGGTCGAAGCAGAAAAGGAGAATGGAAAATTTGACAAATATTTCGGCAAAACTATCCTAGAAAATGTAAAAGAGCAAATGGAACCCGAACACAGTGAAGAAGATGACACCAAAAAAAAAAAAAAAAAAAAAAAAAAAAAAAAAGAAAAGTGAGTCTGAAAAATGTTCTGTAAGACAATCAAAGGGAAATTACTTATTGAATGTGAGATCGTCTATTTTAAAAGTATTGAATTTGATAAACAAGGAAATTCGTCTGTTCAAAGGACTGCAAATCTTACTGAGTCACATGAGAATCAGAATTCAAAATCCGCCAGCCCTGAAGATACCGCAAGATGACCGGAAACGGCAAATCAGAGTGTCAGGTAATATTTAGTTAAAAAAAAAGAAGGCCACTAACAATTATAATAGAATTTCTCGTTTTTTCAAAGTTTCAGTGAAAATGAAAATTACTTGGTTATTTAACGGCATATAAACCTCTATGAATTATTTAATTCCGGAATTTAAATATTTTATACATAATTTTATTTTTTTTTTAGATAATAATGGTTTTAATAATACAAGTTTTACTAATTAACCAATAGATGAGGGAGAAGAGCTGGATTAATACCTTTCTCAAAAGCATTTACGAGTAAATGATTATAACAAACCCAACTGGAACTCGGCTCTCCGATTAACGATTCCGAGCCATTATCCATTACACCACCTGCACATCCAAACTTATAGCACCTGGTAGTCCCAAGAGGTCACACATCCAGGTACTGACCAGGTTCAACGTTGTTTAACTTCGGTGATTGCACGGGAACCGGTATTTAACGTGTTGTGGCCGTAAGCCAGTAAAAATTGGAAAATTATGAAATTTCAGATAGTCTATGGCTAATGTATTATTGTATATCAAGTGATAAAATCTGTTACTACTTCAATTTTTTTATAACAATGCAGCAAGTGAATTTGAAACTTGGTTTTAATAACATTCATACAAGAAAAGATGAACAGGAGAACTTAATAATAATAATGTATTTACATTCTTCGCTCAGTTGTGAACTGCAAGAAAGATTACCAACTGAAAAAAAATCTCTTGATGAAGTACAAATAAAACTAATCAGACAAGAAGAATAACGTCGGTACCAATTTTTTGAGCCACTGGTATTCACTATACAGTTGCTAGTTGCTAGTAGAAATAAAGTCGTTATTCTGGGAGCCCAAGTCAACGCTTAGACAAGAAAAAAATTATTTCATTATGAATCTACGGATGAAACTTTGATGAAGCATTAATATATTAGCCAAAAGTCTGATGAGGCGTATACGAATTTTTTTTTGTTTTTATTTTGTTTTTTTAACGACATATCAAATCCTTATGGGTCGTTTAATGCCTAAATATAATTTTCTTGGGAGATTTGAAGAAATAAATATATGCTATGTTATTCTGCTTTTATAACTGAATACATGGTGGATGATACTCAGCTTTTGTGCATATACATGTTTGTGTGGAAAATAATTACTAGGCGAGGTGAGATGTATGTTTTATCATGTAGTTTTTGTTGAAGTTATATTTTGAAATACCGTTTGATTTCTTTAAGAAATTGTAAGATATATGAATTAATGTCATGAAAGAGTTCAATGCTTTCATGTTGCTTGTTTGGTTTGTTGATTTTGTTTAGCGGAATATCAACCTCTATGGGTTATTTAATGATGAAATCTAAGTACTTTGAACGCAGTTGCATATCTTAAACTACAGATAAAATGTATTGTTGGTCATTTTGCTATAAAATCTATTGTTGGTAATTCGACAATAAAATGTCTTGCTGATCATTTTGCTATATATATATGTATTGGCCATTTTACTATAAAATGTATGTTTATACTTGCATAGTGTTTTGTTTTTGTTTGGGGGTTTACTACTTGCCCATAGCTGGGACCCTGACAGGTGCTACCACTCCTTGGCAGAGTGGACCTGGGAACAACATTAATTAAGAGGTGTTTCCATCTTCCTCAAAGCCTCCAATCTCCCGCTGAAAGGCATTGCTGCTGCATTATACGAAAGGAGATGCTGAATCATTAGTCGAGTGAGAGATGAAACGTTTCTGGCTTAACTAGTTTTCTCGTGCTTCTTACTGTTTCAAATGAATTTTGTTAGTAAATATCTTTTAAGTGATAACATGAATGTTGCGATAGGGCTTTCTTTATTCCAGAAGCTTTGTAATTGTTAGCATAAAAGAGAAAAAAATGATGAGGCTTTGACTAAACGCTAGTTAACTTGACAAAGACCTAAATACTGAGCCTGTACTCAAGGATTAGAGTAGACACTTAGACATGAAAAGAAAATTATTTAGTTAAGAATCTACGGATGAAGCTTTGCCAGATTTAAAAGTATTCAGAATGTTTTAATCAAGTAGCAGATAAAACACTATTTGAACAACTAAAATCAATCAATTGCAAATTTTCGGGGCCTGACTAAGGACACCATAAGAAATTCTTCTGTAGAAGTGAAAGTGGCATTGACAAAAGTCAGGCTGGCATTGGAAAAAGATTAAGTTAAAATAATAAAACTGGCTGACATAAATGGATACGTGATTTGTGACAAAATGGAGTAACTAAAATCAGTTCTGTCACCAGTGAAAAAAAAAAAATTTGAATTCCTTTTTTAACAGCAGCATGTCTACTGCATTTTCCAATTCTTTCTTGTTTTCACAATTCTTGACAATTCCAGCCACTGCAATATCAGAAGAAGGATTTTATTTCTAAGCGGAAACTGATTAAAAATTAAGATCAGCAAGAACGTTTGAAATAGTTTGCTAATTATTTCTATTAAATTTTAAATGAACAGGAGTTAGAAAAAATTCTAAAAGTCTTTGTAAAGATGTTGATATGTTTTTTTATGAGTTATATCATATAAAAGTGTCAGATTTTTCAAGCCATCTTTCCTCATCATGTGCTCTAGAAATTTCAACTGGACTAGGCGAATCAATAGTCTGTTATATTTTAGGAGGGTTTTAGCCTGGACTGCTTTCTCCAGCATTAACAATAATCAGTATTCCATTGTAAACAATGCGTCTTATTTTCTTATTCTCTTCAAAAGCAATGATTTATAGAGGCTTGTAAATCCGCCATAAAAACCTTTCCATGAAACTAGACATTAGAGAATTGATTTTTAAAAATCTAAAGTTGAACACTTCAATGGATGTTAGGCCCGTTGCGTATATACCCACGAAACACATAAATATCCTATTCTTTATGTACCGTGTCCCTTCAGCTTGCAGGCAATCATAGCTCTCCACAATTTCATGTCCATATATCTTGATAAATTTTGTTTTTTATTGTTTCTCCAAAGCCTTGTTTTGCCATCCATTTACTCAAGCTCACTAAGTTTGTTATGCGTAGTTTTCATTTGTCCCTTTAAGTCCTGTGAGTATCAGTTTTTCTAAGCCCTCTTTTCTCATTATGTGCCCTAGAAATTTCAACTATCTCTTTTTTATAATGCCCGTTTGTAGGAGAGACATTATAAATCACAGATACAACAAAAGTAAATTCTTCGGACAATACTCGGTCAGACGCCGCTAATTCCCATATATATTTTTTTCCTTTATCCGTCACTTGATCTAATTATTTCAAGATGAGGTCGACTGTGCTTGCTCTCTGGTGATCCGTGTTCAAGCCCAAGTGTCGGCAGCGACACTTTATCCATATGACACTCTTCATGATGTAAAGTATAAGTTTCCTTTTTGTTTCCATTTTCGCTAAAACTTCGTCGTTGCTCACAGGTTCGTTGAGTGGTATCCTCAGCCCCCTTCTGTAAAACCACAATTCTGTTGATTCAAGCGCTTTTTTCATTTTTAGGAGGTTGTCCAGCATTCACAGCCATATAGGAGGACAGACATTTTTAATGTAACAGTTACGTACTATAAACAGAAGGAAAGCACACTCGCTTTAAGAGAAACGTTAAAAATCGAATGAAAACACGATTTCCTATATCATTTCCGGCCAGCCTAAAGGAAACGAAACAAAATATTGCAGTCTGGTCATAATTTGTCGTAAAAAATGTTTTTGAAAATTTTTTATTTCATATATTATTTGATTTCCTATAACCAGACATTGTAATAAAATATTATTTTGCACCGTTTTGTGGTTTTCTGAAGCATGTTCTCTTTTGCAAGCAGTGTGAAAAATTGTACTTTTTTCTACATAAAAATAAAAGCAAAATGTGATATTCAGCCTTTTGATCTGTTATTTTTCACTTCAACGCACATTCAAATAGAAATAGAATTTTTATTATGAAAAACTGTCTCCCTATAACGTAATCCGTTTCAAAATATTAATATTTAAATGAAAGGAGAGAAGGCATTTCTAGGCTCTATTCTATGGTAATCTCTCTTCTCAAATCTATTTTTTCCATCATATGCACACAAAACCACATACATACATACAAGGCAGATGACCGAAGAGTAAAGGTTAATAAATCTAGTCCGGGAAACAATGATTATCATAGTGACTGTGAGCAATAGTGAGTGAGTTCCTAATTGAAGACTAATTTTATCTAGTTTATTAAATAGTAGCCACCTTGGTAATCGTGACATTATCTGTTTCCTCATAATGAAACATTTGGCATTCATTAAAAAGCAGCCAGTACTTCTGTCGGTTGAAATTTATAAAATCTTTCCCTTAAAACAATTTTTCAGGAGAAATAGATTTCTCAAGTTCAATCTCTTTCTAGTATTGATGACCTAATATTTTATTTGAAGTAGTGTGGAATGTCAACAACTTGATTATGATATGATATCTTGATTGCGATATCTTGATTGTGACATCTTGATTGTGACATCTTGATTGTGATATCTTGAGTGTGATATTCATTTTAGTTGTTGCTGTCGTTAGAAGTTCTCAAGTGATGTGGTTTCTGTTATCTGGTGCAGTTCTTTGTGATTATGTAGCCTCAGTCTACAAGGTTCAAGGAAGGATGGTCCTCGCTAAGACCTATAAGCCTCAGTCAATCAAAGACATTTTTGATCATTGATCTAAGAAAGCAGTTGTATACAGCTGGCGGTTTAGATATTTCTGAACAGGTTTGGTACTATGCATGACATCCATATAAAAGTCTCGATCTAACGAGGCTATGTAAGGACATAAATCGAATTTTCAGGTAAATGCTTTGGTTTTGTAGCAGTTTGCGGTATTGGGTGAAACTATTTCTAGCGCCGCCTATTCTATGTTAATTTTCCTTCTCTCTTATAGGTTATATATTTAGTACAGGCACCAGAGGTCAGTTTTCGAGCTCAGGTAAAAATACCGACTACTGAATGCTGATTTTCAAGGTAGGCAGCAGGCAAGCAAGCAGGTTATCTTCTTTTGTAAGAATGCTGGTCTTGTTACCCGACTTGACTTCTGTATTGCAATAAGGATAACACGGACAGATCGTGGCAGTGGGTCAAGTACTTAAGAGCTTGTGTTGATGGATGGAGGAATGAGGGTAAGAATTTTCCAGCTGCAACAATATGGTCTCGCGAATACACATGGTGGACACAAACAGTTTGACAGTTACAACGATATGGTGCTTGCAAATACACTTTTTGGACACAATTTGACTGCGACAATGATATGATTTCGCGCGATGGACAGAAAGAAGTTGGCAGAATTTAGTGTTCATCGTCGTGGATAAATCGTTGGGTCCTGCAGTGGTTCAATTTATTCTTCATGTTACCCTTCTGGCTGTGGTAGAAATTTTCAGAAAAGTACCAGTTTATGCTGAACTCTTTGAATTTGTCCAAATCGGATCTCACACTTCTAAGTTTTGTCAGACATGAACTGTTCTTTCCAAATTTTCACAAACGACACATCTTGTCGTGGAATGCGTCTCTTTGACCTGGCATTTATCGACTTACCTAGAATGATGACACCCTGGGCAGATTTTTTCCCACAGTAGGTTGCCATTTCTTTCTGCGGTAGACCAGTTGCCATCCAAGTCTATAGAACCAGGTCTGTCCCGCTATTTACCCATAGGTGGCGGAAGGGAGGGGAGAGAAGAAGGATAGCACGTAAGTGAATATAATGGATTTGACTGGAATTCGAACTCTGCTCTCTCCGTTTTCTCAATCCGAGCAGCTATCCATTACTCATCGTGCCTACTTTATGTTCAATACTAAATTCAAATCAACATCAAAGTAGACATGAAATTTTGTCTTCCATTGAAAATTATCTGTTCAATTTGTTCTTGTTCTTAAATATTCGCAAAGGTTAGAATGACATAAATGGTTTGATAATAAAAAATATACGTATAAGTGATTTAAATATAAATACTATATAGAAAAACAATATAGTGTAAATAGTATATATGAATATATAGGGACATAAATAATATGAGATACATATAAAGATAATATAACCATTAATATAAGTATTATATAAATACCAGTGTTAATTTGTAAGTAAGGTATCAGTCTGAATGGAAATGGAAACATGATTGAACATGTATTTGGTATTATATAAATTCCCGTAAAGCAATTAATGGATTTTTCTCGATATTATTTCTTATTAATGGTTACATGAGATTGAGTTAAAAAAAAAAAAGAAAAAAAAAGAAAAGAAAAGAAAAGAAAAAAATGATATCTACTCAAACACGTGCATCCAGTTCTGGCGGTGGTAGATAAAAATATATTTTAATACAGATTTCGTTTAACTCTGTGTTTTTCTCTCTTCTCTCTCTCTCTTTCGTTCTCTCTCTCTCTCTCTCTCTCTCTCTCGGCAGGGTTTAACTATTTTCCGTTTTTTTTTTGAATTTGTAGGTCTAATGAATTGGACGTTGATTACGATTCCAATGTAATAAATTATAACCATAGAATATTAGTGTCTGAGCCTTTTATATTATATTCTTACGCTGTCCTGGACGTTGAGCTCTACCTGGATTCTATCCTCTTGATATATATATATATATATATATATATATATATATATATTGACCACTAATATTATCTCTCTCTCTCTATATATATATATATATATATATATATATATATATATATATATATATATATATATTTGTGTATGTATTATATATATATATATATATATATATATATATATATATGCAGTTTTTATATATATTATTTATATATTATATATGCGCTGTACTTATTGGGAACCGCCCAATATCAGTGATAGAGCTAACATATTTAGTTGGATTGATGTGAGAAGAAGTTCGATTGATGTGAGAATGTTTGATGTGAAGAAGTTCGCTACACAATCCAACATTGAATACAGCGACCAATTGCATACCTATGTACGCAACGACACATGGATGCGCATATACGCCCAGTTCCACACTGTTCATATATGCTTATGTTTGTGTCAGCTACAATGCGTGAACGTGCGTGTATGTATGTCAGCGGACGTATGAGTAGTGTTCCGACGACAATGTTTTCTCCCACTACCATGAAAACACCGATATACGCAACCATATATAGATCCAAAATTTAAAAATTAGTCGGGTTGACTGACTATCGGAAATAGCGTGAAACATAGACTCACAAACTCACATCAATCCAAATAAACACACACACACACACCTATATATATATATATATATATATATATATATATATATATATATATATGTAAAAATATGGTTTTATAGTTTGCTCTATTGTGGGGGAAAAGTGCTCAATATCAGTGCTGGGGCGTATGTCTGAAGATTGCGTTCAAGCATGAAACAGCCTGTTGCCGCTTGAGTGTTAACGTTAATGTTCGTATATATATATATATATATATATATATATATATATATATATAATTGAGGAATCGGAGAGACGAGTTCGAATTCCGGTCGAATTCATTACATTCCCTTACGTGCTAATACCCTTGGGAAACGTATGATTCCTCGTCTTCTTCTCCCAGCTATAGTTAAATAGCAGGACAGACCGGGTTCTCTAGCCTTAGATGGCAACTTGTCTACCGCCGAAAGAAATGTCAACCTACTGCGTGAAAAAAACCCTGCCTCGTCAGACATATATCGAAAGATACATGATCGTCTAAGTGTGTATCACGCATGGCACATAACTGACTGACCTCATTTAAATAAACACCACAAACTAAATGGATGAAGAAGTACATGAAAACAACATTAATTTTCAGAGGTCAATGTTAAGCTATATTGGATAGATATGGTGGTTCGGCTAAATGTTGGGTCCTTCATGGAAATACTCAACCAGGAGAAGGTGGTGTAATATTTTTGGCGATTACTGTAGGCAATAAAATTATATGTGCCATAAAATTTTATGACAATATCCAAACAATCAAGGAGATTTAATGTAAAGCGCGTATTCATGAAAGTCGATATACTTTCATATTATAAGAAGTTGGCTATTTCTCACCTTGTTAAGAAAGGTTTCAAAGGCAGTAAATTAAGGAAACGCCCTCCACCTGAATCTCCAGATATTAAACCAGCAGAAAACTCGCGGTCAATCAATTAGAGAAATGTGTAAGAAAATGGATAACAGTTTAAAATATTAAGACCATTGGCTAAAGGCATGAAAGCTATTTATAACCTTTAATTAAATATTACAACAGAAAACACGTAAGTTGGACGAAGTCTGATTTCACAACAGTAATTTTTAGTGTAGAGCCCGGCGTTGCCCAGGGATGTAAAAGTAAGAGATAGATCAAGTATCGACCATCATAAAGACTGAAAAATAAAATTGACAAAGATTATTATTTAAGGTTGACGGACACGCATGTCTTAATTAGTTTTTTTTTTGTTTTGTTTTGTCTTTGTTTTTTTCGAATTGGTCAAACCCAAACTCAAACAAAAACATTGTTTTCAATCGTTATGAGTCTAACAATTGAATAGAATTTTCTTATAAACAATTGTCTTGTAAATGGAATTTTTAAAGTATTCTGAATGTAAAAATAAAGAAAAACGTGTGCAAGACAATAAGAAACACTACCTGCCAAAAAAAAGTGAAGTTTTGTTGAAATTGGTTGAAAAATGTAGGCAATCTGATCCTATATATAAACGAACACACACACACACACACACACACACACACACACACACACACACACACACACACACACACACACACACACACACAACCTGGGTTTTATAATACGTATAACTCGATATGAGTTGTCCCCCTTTCATTAATGTCTCTTAATCGTGTTTTCAAATTGATTTCGTGCAAAAACAATTGTTTTTCCAATTTTTGGCGCTGTCAGAACCACCGCAAGGTAATTTTACGTAGTCCTGTGAAGTTTTGTTGAAATCGGTTGAAAAATGGAGGAAATCCAATCCAATATATAAACGTACACACACACACACACACACACACACACACACACACACACACTGGGTTTTATAATAAGTATGATCTACAATAGCGGCCATAATATAAGGAACGGAAACAACAAAGACATAAATATGTGTATTTGTTAAAAAGTAATGCATGATTAGCAATTAAATTTTTACCGAATAAAGATTAGGGTGTAATGCATAAATATTATACAAAGTTACAAAAATTTACATAATAGTTTTTTTTTTAAATAAAGATTAAATGGAACAAAGGAAATAATCTACTGGACAAAAGTTAAGGAACGATCTTGTTAATACTTGATTTTGAACAAAATATCAACAAAATTTAATATTTGGTAAACATCACCTTATTTTCAATGACTTCTCTGCATCGTCGACCACATGATCTAATTAATTTCTTGCAAAATCAGCAGTAATTCCCTCTCATTCGTCTTTCAATAACTCCCATAGGTGATCTTGGTTTTTCGGGTTTCTTTTCTGAGCCCTTTCTCCAATTATCTTCCAAACATTTTCTATTGGATTCAGGTCTGGGCTCTGGGTTGGCCACTTCATTAGAGCGATTCCTTCTTCAAATAAAGCCATAACCTTCTGAGCCTTGTGGCAAGGTGCATTGTCCTGCATGAAAATAGAAGATTCATAAAGATTATGGTGTAATCTTGGTACTACATGCTGCTGAAGAAGCCTTTTGTAAATCTCAGCATTGATATTGCCATGTACGCGGATGATAGGGCCAACTCTTGCAGATGAACTCATTCTGCACACCATCACACTGCCGTCACCAAACTTAACGGTTTTCTTGACACATTGAGAAGACAGTCTTTCACCTGTTCTACGGCGTACGTAAGTTTTACCCTCAGAACCAAATATAGTAAACTTGGACTCGTCATTGAAATGAACTGTATCCCATTGTGCGTCAGTCCAAACAACATATTCTCTCGCATACTCCAGGTGTGCCCTTTGGTTTCGCTTTGAAATAAGAGGCTTCGAAGCTGGAATACGGGCATGCAATCCTGCATTTTTTAACCTGCGAGCAACCGTTTTCCTTGAGATCTTATTATTTTTTGTAGATATTCTAACAATTCTTCGATCTTCTCTTTGCGATGTTTTTGGAGGTCTGCTGGTTTTTGATTTTGCATTTAACGTTTTATCGGTTTTATACCTGCTAATTACACGATGAACGACACTTTTAGACCTATGAACAATATCAGAAATTTCTGAAATTGACTTTTTTCTTGATAGTTAGCGATAATGAGTTTTTGTCTTCAAAAGAGAGCGTTTTGCGTGTAGAATTTGCTATATTGCTTAAAAATAAAGTCCTAATGATAGATGAACTTTTACTTATT